AAATTTTAAAAATAATTTATATATTCAAACATAATATGTATATGTATATATAATATATTATAAATTTTAGTTGCATATGATAAATATTTAATTTATGATAAATAAAATTCAAATTAAATAAAAAGTTAAAAGAAAATTTCTACAAATTTTCTTATTTTAAAAATATTTCTAAAAAGGTTCTTCCACTAGTTAGTGGTACATATTTAACAAATAGGAGTTGATTTTAAATTTTAGTTAACATAACAAATATTTAACCTAATTAAATTATGTGTGTGTATTTTCTCAAAATACATGTCAAATTTTGTTCAATTTTTTTTAGTAAAGAAATTTTGTTCAAATTTAACAACAATAAAAAGGTAATTAAATTATTTATATTTTAATATAATTTAAAAATATTTATAGATATCAACTAATTTTGGATTAATATAAGATTTTATAAATATGATATATATGAAATAATCTTTCAATCAAACGATAATAAGTTTTAAAATAATATTATTGAATTAAAAGTTATTAAATAATATAATAGTTATTAAAGTCACACTGGTGTAATTTGATTATTTTCATATATATATATATATATATATATATATGTATATATATACTTTCTTCAAGAATAAGTTTATCTAAATTTAGTCTACTTAATAATATATATTTTATGTCAAAAATTTAGCAATTTAATCATTAAATTAAAAAAATTTTATGTATAGATCAAATCTGCAAAAAAAAATTACATAGTACATTGTTTCTTTAATTCAAATTCACAAATAATCATAAAAATATTTTATAAGTTGATTAGAATTAATGAAATGCAATATCAAATAGATTTCAATTTTTTTGTTAATTTGTAAACTTAATCTATGCATTAAGGACTTTTAATTTAACGATTTGATTGTTGAAATTTGATGCAGAATGAGTTATTAAGTTAATCAAAACATTTTATACATTGATTTGAATTAATGAAATGAAATATCAAATAGTTTTCAAATTTTTTAAAACTTTGTAGGCTTGATATCTGCATAAATAGCTTTTAATTTAACAATAAAATAATTGAAATTTGATATAAAATATAAGTTATTGAGTGAAATAAGTCTAATTATATTAATAAAGTTTGACTGTTCTTACCAAAATCTATAAGTGCTCTAATGATGGGGATGACGTCTTATAGTCATCTTAATATCTACGACGATGGGGACACTTGTTAAAACATTTTGACCCTTAAGTAAGAGGGGAGTTTAGGTTAAGAATGAGATTAAAGTAGAATGATACCTGGTGTCTCATATATAGGTGATTGATCTTATCTTTAGTTTTAGAGATGATGTTGTATGATAGCTTAGAGATATATTTTGGTGATTGCATGGAGATACTGTTATTGATTAGCGAATGTTTATTCCTGATAAGCAAAGATATTTCATTAGGTGAATATAATGTGCTTGATTATGATATTTTAGAAAATATTAATGTCAAGATATCCCGCTAGTCGTTAGAAGTTAACTATCTAAGGGTTTCACTTTATGATGATGGGTTGAAGGCCTAGTGTGGACAAGCAAGAGAAGGTTAACTCAACTTGGTAGTGTTGAGTGGTATATAAGCCCCTAAGCTCTTGACTCTTTATAAGAAAGGAGTAAATCACTTTATTTTTCACCTATGTTAAGGTAGGTTTTCCAACTTGAAGTTTGGAGAGACTTGTATGGCAGATTGAAGTGTGTTGCGTAAGCATAAGTGGTTTGTGTGTTTTGTTAGTAATCATTTGTTTTATGTTTGCTAGAGATATTAAGCTTGCTATTATAATAACCATAGAAGTGATAAGTTTGTAGTAGTGACTAATATGTAATCATTTAAGATGATAAACTTGAAGGTTTGTAAGTGGTAATCGTAATGGCAAAATGATCAACTTATGATTGTAATTGTGAGTGTTTTGGAATCTCGTAGTTGATGT